CCCCAGAGCTTTGCAAAGTAGCCAGATATTCCAAGGAGATGTCTTCCAGTCTTTGCCTCTAGCTTGCACAGTGGGCAAGAGCTCAACAAATGGCAGGCAGCATGTGGAGCCACACAATGACCCAAACCTAAGCCCTATTTCTATGGAGTCTACCGCCATCTCTGTCCACCAGGACACCAATTAGACTATCTCCGGCCCACTGCACCCTGGGAATGAGAGTGAAAAGACAGACTCAGAGGAGGCCAATTGTGCTGCTACTCCAGGGGACCCCTGTCCCCAGCCTTCCCACCCACCCATTGCTTTTTTTTTCTGCTAGATGACCAGGAAAAATCAAATGCAAGAGCTCATTTAAAGCTACTATGGGAGGAGGGGATAATCCTTTCTTGCCCACTCTACCTGACCCTCTCAGCTCACACTGGATATGACTTCTGAGACACATGTGTGGGAAAGGGAAGAACCATTGTTCTTAAACTCAGCAAATGTAAGTGAGACCAGTCTTGTGCTTTAGAGTTGCAGAAATGAGGTATTAGGCCATTTGGTTGATACTAGATGTCAACAAATCCAGCTTGCCTTCGTGCATAGCATTCCAATGTAGTATCCTGGAGGCCAAGGGCAGTTGCGGTTGTCCTGCTGCTGCCCAAGACAGACCTGGAGGCAAGACACTTCCACACCCATCTGAGCACTGCTGTGAACTGCCTTTGGGTCACAGAGAGTCTTGTCTGAGACTGAGAATGTGCCCTTGGAAGGTTGGGGAGGTACCTACTATTTCTGCCTTAGGGCCATCCTAGGCATAGAAAAAAGGAACCAACTATTTTACTAATGGTATACCGAACTCTGGGCTAGCAGATCACCAAACTAACTTTCTCCTAGGTGTTGACAGACTGTGTGACCTAAAAAAGTAATTAACCTTTATATGCAACCGGTTCTCTTTCAAAGGCAGGAATCCCACTCTCCAAAGTTCTTATGGTTTTTTTTTGTTTTTTTGTTTTTTTTTCTGAAGAAAACCACCAGGATAAATAAAAAGACTAGCTAAATTTTCCTCCCAGTTTTGCCAGCAGAATTGTACTGAGACAGCTAAGGGGACAATCTTAAGGAATACTCATCGGCATGGCCTCAGTATCTGCACATCTCCAGGACAGCTGTGGTCTTGGTCAATAGCTGACTCACTGCCTATATCATAGAAGTAAGTTTGATCGTTTAACTCAAGTTTTGGTGCTCTCTTCTGGACAGCCTATGGTTCATGGATAGATCTTGGCAAATTGTACACTTTTACAAAAGCTGTAAAAAACATGTAGATAATTTGGATGCTTATCCAGGGTGAAGAAACATGGATCTATGCACCCGACCCAACAAATTTTCATCGAGACTATGACTGTATGGAATACACACACACACACACACACACACACACACACACACACACACACACACACAGTCTTTTTGAGACAGGGTCTCCCTATAGCCCCAGCTGGCCTGGAACTTACTATGTAGACTGGGTAGCCTCCATCTCACAGAGATCTGCTTGCCTCTGCCTCCTGAGTGCTGGGATTAAGGGTGTGTGCCACCATACCGAACTTTGTATGGAATATTTAAAAAAATGTGCAGGTGTTCAAGGGCTGATCTGGTCTTGGCTTTCCAGGAAATTCTAGCAACTTTTGCAACCAAAGAAGACAGACACGAGGAATAGAAGCATTAGGGGGAAAGGGGTGGGTCTTGGGGTTCTTACCTTTTTAAGGAAAGAATTCAGTCAAGAAACTTGGACAATTTAAGCAGAAGTCTATCTACTGAAGCTTAACACAACAGATACTGTCTTGAGAGGTTAGCTGCATGGATGGAAGTGCACCACAGGTGTGTAATACTCACAGAGCCCAGAAGAGAGCATTGAATTTTGTGGAAATGGACAGGCAGCTGTGAGCCATCCAATGTGGGTGCTAGGAACCAAATCCAGGTCCTTTGCAAGAGCAGCAAGTGCTTTTGATAGCTGAGCCATCTCTCCAGCACCATCTAACAAAGATTGGAGTGGGCTGCCCCAAGGCAGGGAGCAGCCCAGTGGGTTCTCTTTTGTGGATTTAAAAGAAGTTACTGTGAATGTTTCCTCCTTGCCTACTGGATATCAAAGGGAACTAGAATCAGGTGACTCTCAGACACTCACAAAGGGAAGTGAGGAGTGAGAATGGTGCTTACTGGGCTCGGACAGTGTGACTGTGGTACTGACAGGCAGGCTAAGACTGTCTGGAGTCTGTGTGGGGAGTACTCTGCTCAGCTCATAACCTTGAAGCCTGAGAGGTGAAATGTTATAAATAGATCTTTATTTGCTGAAGTCGTTACATAGGAAAGATAAACCAATGAAAGATAAACAAAACAAGACAGCATAGTTACACCCCCCCACCCGCAAAGATACAGGAATCAGGAGTATAGTGGCTAATTTTGATTGCTGACTTGATTTGATTAAGAAACGCCTAGCACATCTCTGGGCATGTTGGTGAGGGTGTGCCCCGAGGCAGCTAGGTTGAGAGAGAGCTCTGACCTAATCAATGGATGAATCCCTTGATGGATTCATAACATAATGATATGATTGAAGCAGCGAGAGGTAGGAGAGGGCCTAGTGGGAAGAAATAGGTCACTAGGAGCATGTCCTTTGGACTATTCTTCATCCTGGCCCTTTCCTGTGTGCCTCCTTTCTCTGGCTCCTCCTCTGTGACAAAGCTTCCCTGCCACATACACTGATTGCCAGCCAGTTCTGCATAAGTGCATGTGGCTATGTGACCAAGGACTGAGCCATCAAGTGACCAAGGACTGAAACTGTGAGCTAAGCAAACCTTTCCTCCCTTAAATTGTCCTTCTGGATATTTTAGTCAAGTCATAAAAGCACCTAACATATAACATTTCCTGAAGAAATCTCTGATTGTAGATTCAGACAAGGAAATATACAAACTTTCACACCAGAAAGCAAACTAAATATCATACACTACCAGTGTCACATGGAAAGGCCTCCAGGGTCATCTAGAGCAGATTGCTACTGATCAGGGATGGGATAACTAAGGACGGAATTTACGTGATGAGTTCATGATTCTCTCTCTGCTAGCCACTGAGGGGACTATCTCACTATTTTTAAAACTGGTAAATAAAATCAAGCATTCATTTTGTGTTTCTTATATCACCTATACTACACTACACATGTGATAGGGAAGTTTCTCTTCATTACCATATTTAGGCAACGAATGAATAATCAACTTAAAAATTGTCACTTTGAAATCTCAGAGTTTAGCAGGATAAAATTTAGCATTAAAAACATGAAGATTCCTGGTTAACCATGGATTTCATATAAGCAGTAAATAATCATGTACTGTATGTTCCATGAAATATTGCTTATTATGTTAAGCAATCTTTTGTTGATTAAGTTTCAAATGTAAATGGAAATCATGTGTCTGATTTGGCAACCCGACGATGAGGTAATATATTTAGGCAAAGGCCATTGATGTTGCCTACATCATACATCAGAGATAGACACAAGGAAGTTCTGTGGCCCTGATTCAGACACAGACATGACTGTGACGTATTCTCTCCAGGTAATTGAACATGCATAAATCAAGCCTGTAGATCTGATTACCAAGCTATAAGAAACAGGGTGCAGAAGAACATGTTGAATTATACATATCAATAAAACAAAAGCCATCAAAAACTAGTCAATGAATGATCCAATTTCACAGTGAAATCCTGGCAAGGGGAAAAATACTGAACAACTGGAGAAGATGCTTGTAGATGCAAAGAGGCTCAAGGCACTGATCAATTGTGATATATAGACTTTTCATCTGACTCCTGAGAAGGGAGGGAAAGAGAAAAGAGAGAGAGAGAGGGAGAGAGGAGAAAGGAATCAATGACTGCTATTTAATATGAATATTTTTAATATTTTAGGGAAGACTGATATTGAAGTTATTTTTAGACTCTCATTTTGAAATAAATACTGAAATACTAAAAGATCAAACATAATTTCCTTAAAAATAATCAAGGATGGGACTGAAGAGATGGTCCAGTGGTTAAGAGCATGGACTGCTCTGACAGAGGATGGCAGCACCCACATTAGGTGACTCACTATAACTCTGGCTCAAGGGGATCTGATGCCTTCTTCTGGACTCACGTATGGACAACCCCCACATATATACATATAATTTAAAAATATCTTTAAAATTTAATCAGGGATGTGAGTAAAGAGGGTGGGTCTAGATAAAGCAAGGATGACCATGGGTTAGCATGGAAGGCTGAGGCAGGAGGAGCATACAAGTTCAAAGCCAGCCTGGGGTATAGAATAAGACTCTGACTCAGAACAAAAACAAGCAAACAAAAACAACAAATAATAAAGCCAAAATAAAAATGGATGCCATGTGTTGATCTTTATGGGCACAAAGGCATTTGTTATACCATTTAAATATGAGTGCTTAGTATACTGATTATCTGCTCTTTTGCATAAATTTATAATAAATTATAGTAAAACATTTTTAATGAGAATGATCTATACAAGCTCTAAGTGAGAGTGAGTAAACAGACATCCCAAACAACATATTGGCTGTTTTATTCATATAATCTCATTTTAGCCTTACAGGCAGCAAATGGGGAACTGAAGCAGACAGGCAGGTCAAAGCCCTTCCCCAAAGTCATCTAGGAACAAGAAGTTGAGCCAGGACTTGAATCCAGGAATTCTAACTCCAGGCAGTCTAAGCCTTGATCAACAGCCCTCCTGCTCAAATAGGCAAAGCTGGCTTATCTACCTTGAGTTACCTGGCCCTGTGCAGCCCAGCATCTCTAGCTGTGCTATGGGTAGTGACTATCTTGTCACTGGCGGTAGGCTGGTCTAGTACTCTACTGTGTGGGCATTCAAGCATGAGGCAGGCAGTCTGACTAAGTAGGCCTTAAGGTTGCATGGTGAGAGTCTGTGGTACTAAATTTTTTTCCCATCAAAGTGAGTATCCTGAAAAGTTTACATAGCAATTCTTTCCCTCCAGGAGCTGTGAAGGCAGCAAGGGAAGAAACCAACAACTGAGGCTGGACCAGCATGGGAGCCTTGAGGTCTGAAAGGCAGGTGAGTCACAGAGCCTCACGTCCCTCAGAAAAGGCTGTTCTTCCCTTTGCTCAACTCCTGCCTGTTCTGTGGATAGAAAATGCTTCATTTCTCCTGTCAGATCATTGGTGGAACTAGTTCCAAAATGTTCTCATTACTGCTCTCTTCGTGATGACTCCCTCCAGTCCCAAGGAAGTAGGCACTGCCTTGAAGATGTCTTGCTTCTAAGGTGTACACAACCTTTCAGAAACTGCAGTTCTGCAATATTTGCAACATGAACGTGTCCCTTCTCAGAATGAAAATGAAATTCTCTGCAGGTAGCTCTTCCCTTCATGCTAACATTTCCTGCCCTTTGGCTGCACATGTTTCTGAGGGGAAGGATTTGGGATCATGTTCAAAGGAACAGGGCAGGTGACTCTCAGGGGTAGTATACCTGGTTCTGCAGTTGTAACAGGTGCCTTGGCTTGACCAGTTACTCATAAGAGGATAGGTTCATGTGCAAGCCTTCATTGTTCAAACTGGGGACAGCACATTTGTTGGGTGATACATAATGTATTGTTTTTCATAGCTCAGAACCATCTTTGGAGCTGCCAAGAGTCAACTCCAATTCTCTGTTTGGATAAGATGGAAGTTCCAAAGGAAAGTTTTCCTTGGCAAAATGTATGTCTTGGCTCTAATAGACCAATGATGAAAATACTCAAGACCAAAGGTGAGGCAGGACTGCTTCCAATTACGGGGTTGAGCTCACTGGGAATGGCCTCGTGACAGCTTTGCATTAGAGGCAGACGGTGTTTCAGTTGGCAAGCCAGGGAAAAAGAGAGATCACTTCTCTGCTATTTGGTAGGACTTTTCCAATTATGGGAAGGTAATTCAAATCTTTGGTAATTTTGGAAGTCTTTCCATTGGAAAATTCCCTTTGATTTTTGGTATTTGACTACTTTTGAAAACATTGAGAATATGCTGAAAGGAACAGTGGCTAAGTGTATTGGGAGAATTGATAAGAATCTCAGGCAAGGGCTGGAAGATGGCTCTGTTGGTAAAAACGTGGGTTTGACCCCCCAGAACCTACAAGCATGGTGGCATTCACTTGTAATCCCAGTGCTAGGGAGACAGAGACAGGAAAATTCCTGGTGCTTTCTGGACTGACAGCCTAGCAGAGTTGGTGAATTCTAACCCAGGGAGAGACCCTGTGTCAAAAACAACAAAGTGGATGGGGCCTAAGAAACAACAAATGAGGTTTAGCTCTGGTGCCACATGCACATGCACGCATGCACATCTGGATACACACATGCACACACTCAAAAATCACAGGCAAGTGATACCAGCAGAGACACTGACAGGTGTGTATATAAACATACTGCATACACACACTACACACACACACACACACACACACACACACACACACACACGAATCATAGGCAAATGGTACCAGCAGAGACACACACACAGGTGCGTACACACACACACACATTCGTGAATTACACACAAGTGGAACCAGCAGGGGTACTGTCCAGCACTTGTATAAATGCCTCAGAAATAGGCTTTCATTTCCCATGTGACTTGAACTCATAACTCACACAAAGAGCAATCCAGACTGCTGGCAAAGAAAAAGTCAGATGTCTTTCAAGGCTGAGAACTCAGAGAAGTTTAAGAAGTCAGTAGAAAATATCTCAGAAGGAGGAGGATGGAGAGGACTTGTAGGGAAGATGGAGAAGACCTATAGGAAGGGTGGGGAGAACCTGTAGGGAGAAGGATGGGGAGGACTTCTGGGGAGGGTGGAGAGGGTCTACAGAGAGAATGGGGAGGGCTTCTAAGGAGGATGGCGAGGGCCTGTAGGGAGGATGGGGAGGGCCTGTAGGGAGGATGGTGAGGGCCTGTAGGGAAGATGGGAAGGGGCTGTAGGGATGATGGGGAGGGACTGTAGGGAGGATGAGGAGGGCCTATATTTTTCCGTTTTTATGAGATTGCAAACCCATAAAATTCTCTTTCTTTTTTGATGACCCTCTCACTGATAGTGTGGAGCTCATGTAGGTCACAGTACAGGTTTTGATCCTTGACCCTTGACACCACTGTCATTCCCTTCTGAATTTCACACATACTGAGAGATTTGGGAAGGGATGAAATGAGAAGGCTTTGACTAAAATGAGCAGTTCTCAGATTTTAAATGTTCATTTCTTTTCTCAATATGCTACCAACTGCACCTTGTCCACCTGGCTCTCCTCCTACCTGGGTCTCAATCTCCATAAGAAGATCTTGGACCTTCCAAACTGACTTGTACCCAGGACTCATCTAATTACCACCCATGTGACCCTGGACAGGCCTTGGTCATCTCAGCCACAGGGAAAGGAAGCATACTTGAATGCCTTGGGACTCCTTTTCCCAGGGGGTGAAAACAAACATATTCATTAGTGAAAGAATGACCACCTGATTAGAATGTATGACATGCCTTTGATAAACCTGAGCCATTGGGAATGGGCCTGGTGAGCTGAACTGACTGCTCAGACATGGGCTACAGATGGTTGAGATCATAACTACTGCCCTGCCTTTGGTGTTGATTCCTGGTGATGATTTCATAATCAGTGCCATCTAGCAGGGAAAATGGGAAGATCCTTCTGTCTACTCCTTTCTGCAGTCCACAGGACACTCAGGAGCTAGGGCATCTCCAGAGCAGTGTTGCTGGAATCCATCCTTCTGTGACAGCCTGCCCACAGCTCCCCTCCTTCAGCCTCGGGCTTTCTGCAGTAAAGGGGAAAGTGTCTGGGAGGGATCAGTAAACTTCAAAGTTCATTTCCTGAAAGGGCACCAGAAACAGCAGACTTGGGGTGACAGAGCTCTCCCCCTGAGACAGTTCCCTGAGGGCTATAGTGCTCAGGATGCAGATGGAGGGTGAGAGGCAACAGGCCAGGCCCCTCTACTCTACTGTGAGGATCCCACCCAGCCCACTGTCACATTCACTCTCTTCTCCCCCCCCCCCCGCCTTCCCTCATTTCTGGACAGACAAGGGCTCTGAGTCCCAGGCATCCCCCAGGCCTCTTCATTTCCTCCCAGGCTCCTTTCCTGGCTACTGAGCCTGTTTGAACACGCTTGACTGGGACTTGCTTTCTCCTGTCTGGGGGACTTGGTGAGGTCAATTTTCACATATGCAATACCCTGCCTTTCTATTCTGCTGCAACATGCCCTCCCCGCCTGAAAGCCAGCAATGATCTGTCCCCTTCTAAAGCTCAGATTTCTCTACAGCATCTGCATCCACACAAGGGCTCAGGGTGTCACAGCATCACCCACTTCCTTGTGAACGTCTGAGAAACTGAGGCCCAGAGTGGGAAGGAATTTGTTCAAGTTAGTGTTGGGGGCAGATCTTTGACCATGCTGCTTCCTAACCCTGGGTGCTGTGCTCCTGCCTTGTCTCACAGCTCACAGCTCTGTTTTCAGATGCTGACCATTTTACCTGTCCGTCTGCAATCTTTCTGCGGGCAAGGACTTTGCTTTGTCCTTTTAGAGGTTTCATAGCCACTGCCAGCTCTGTGCACTTCAGCACACTGTGTGCTTTTAGAAGTTATTTACATTGTTCTATCCTTATGAAAACACTTCTCAGTAGCAATAGCAGCTGCTGCCGCAGCAATATAACTGATCCCCTTTACAGATGATAGCACCTTGATGCAGGGAATCCAGTGGCTGGCTGAAGGACGCCGAGACACATGGGAACATGTGGAACAAAGGAGCTGCACACAGTGAGCCTGACTGTTACTACCTGGGAAGGTGATGGGTGCACGTGGCTCAGGGGGCCCTGCCTTGTCCCTGTGAGTCTCTGTTGGTTGGATGCCTGATCCTCTTGTATTTCTGCTTTAGAAACAGCAGTACTTATAGACAGGCTGAGACAGGAAGAGAGGGCTTGCCACCAGTAACCTGTCTCCCACCCAACCCCTTTACGCGTGCTAAGTGTGGGTTCCTGAGAGCTGGGATGAAGACATGAGGAAGGCACTTGCCCTCTTGCTGGGGGAAAATGGAGTCACATCCTTTGTATCTGTCACCCAGGATCTACTGCCTTGTCTGCAGCCTCTAGTCTGACCGAATTGCTTTTCTGCTTCATGAGACTCACAGCATGGCAGTCCTGCGCTTCGTCTCTGCCTCACTTCTCCAGTGTCGGCTGTAACCCACTTTGCTCTCTGGAACATTTATCATATTGATTGTATAAGAAATAGATCATAAGCAGAATGAAATTACCAAATGCAATGATCTGGGGCACCCTGTGGATCAGATCAATCTTGGGGCAGCCAGGGGAGAAAAACAATCCCTTGCCGTGACGTTTTCCCAAGTTGATTTTCATTGCAAATAGAAATTTCCATCAGCTAAGGTACCCTGTAGGGGAAAAGACTGCTATGCTGATGAAGCATGTGTCTGTGTGTGTGTGTGTGTGTGTGTGTGTGTGTGTGTGTACATGCGTGTGCATGTGGGCAGTGTTTGAGAGAGTTCATTATACTCATTGGTAGAAGGAGAATATCTTAGTTAAAATTCATTTGAAGTGGAAGTGTGATTGCCTGAGATTCTCTAAATTGTGTGTCTCTGTGTCTATCTGTGTGTGCCTGTGTGTGTCTATGTATCTATACATGTGTATTTCTGGTGTGTGTGTGCATGTGTGTATGTCTGTGTCTGTATGTGCATATCTGTCTGTCTCTTTGTGTCTGTGTGTGTGTGTGTGCTAGGTAAAAAAGCACAGTTCTCATTTGTTTAGGCAACTTCTCAAGGACCCTTCCCAATCTGGTGTAACTGGGCTGAGAACCACCTGTTTTTGTCACTCTGGATGGTGACTATGACCTCGACTGAATTTGCATCTTCAGGAGCTGGGGTGTAACAGTGTAGTGGGTACAGGCACAGGACAGTGCAGGATCTGTTTATAAGCAGCTACTCAGATGCCCAGATTCCCTTCTCTCTTAGACCTCAAGCTGCAGAACTGACCTCTACCATCCTTAGAATGTTCTCTCTGTCTGGAGACAGGGCTGGTGAGTCAGCCGAGACTGGAA